TGAAGTCGAACTATCTCCCAGATAAATATCCTCGCATATGCCTCAGCAGTATATGTAGTCCTCACTAGAATAAAATGTGTTGACTTCGTCAACCGGTCCACTATCACCCAAACAGAATCATTCCCCTTCCTCGACTTCGGCAAACCTACAATAAAATCCATGGAAATGTCTGCCCACTTCCACTCTGGAATGGGTAAAGGCTGAAGTGTCCCTGCCGGTCTCTGATGCTCTGCCTTCACCTGCTGACAGGTAAAATATCTAGCGACATAGTCTGCAACCTCTCTACGCATACCGCTCCACCAGAAATGTCTCTTCAAGTCCTTTTACATCTTGATGGTCCCTGGATGCACTGTGTATCGAGTACGGTGTGCCTCATCAAATAACTCTCTCTTCAGCTCTGCACTGGCTGGCACAACCAATCTACCCTTCATCCGTAGACCTCCATCAGCTCCAATGGTCCAATCAGTCTTAGGCTCTTTGGAAATCTCCTCCTTTCGGATTTGAATCCAAGAGTCTCCCAACTGAGCTCTGACAACTCTGACACTCCAAGATGGCTGCACTAAGATAGCTCCCAAAAATGCACTGGTCCCTCCAATCTCGGGCCTAAAATCAAACTGGCTAAGAGTGATAAGATCCCGATGTAATGAACACCTCAAAGCCAAAATCCGGGATCGACGCTTCCTGCTTAATGCATCTGCCACGACATTCGCCTTCCCCGGATGATACTGGATTGCGAACTCGTAGTCCTTAATAAACTCAATCCATCTCCTCTGTCTCTGGTTGAGTTCCTTCTGGGAAATTTTACTGCCTTGAAGAGTCCTCAATGCCTATCCGTGATTGCTCTCGTATCCGCCTCCAATCTCGAGTAAATGAGAATATCATACGATGAAAACGATGATCACAAACTGATCTAAGAAGGGACGGAACACCCGGTTCATCAAGTCCATGAATACCACGGGTGCATTAGTCAACCCAAATGGTATGACCAAGAACTCGAAAGAACCATATCGAGTAAGAAAAGCGGTCTTGGGAATATCCATATCCTGAACCCATAGCTGATGATAGCCAGAACGAAGATCAATCTTCGAGAAATACTGCGCACCCTGCAACTGGTCAAACAAGTCATCAATCCTAGGTAGTGGGTACCTATTCCGGATAGTGACCTTGTTCAACTCTCGATAATCTATGCATAATCTCATACTACCATCCTTCTTCTTCACGAAGAGGACCGGCGCGCCCCACGGAGAATGACTCCGGCAAATAAAATCCTGAGCTAATAACTCGTCCAACTGGGTCTGAAGCTCCCTCATCTCAGCTGGTACCATGCGATAGGGTGCGCGGGATATCGGGGCTGCAACTCAATACAGAACTCTACCTCTCTCATCGGAGGTAATCCAGGTATGTCCTGAAAGACATCCTGATACTCTGAGACAACTCTAGTCTCCAATAACTCAGCACCCTGATCCCGTCGCATCACCTCCTCGATGTATGCCAGAAATGACTCCGCAAATCGGTTGCCCTGAGAGGCGGCTACAATCATCTCGGACCCGTCGGACGCTCGCAACTTGACTGTCTTCGCAAAGCAGTCAATACTAACATAGTAGGAAGATAACCAATCCATACCAAGGATGACATCGAACTCGGACATATACAACACTATAAAATCAACTATGAACTCTGACTCGTCTAAACTGTCGGTACACCTCCTACAAACGCTCTCCAGAAGCGATACCTCACCTAAAGGGGTGGAAACAGATAAAGGGGTGTCTAGTGGCTGAGCTACAAGCTGGAGTCTAGCCATAAATGCATGCGATATGAAGGAATGCGAAGCTCCCGAATCGAAAAGAATACGGGCGGGAAAGGAGTTCACAAAGAACGTACCCTCCACCACGGCTCCGCTAGCTCCATGATCGCGGGGAACAACCGCATAAACCATGCCCGTGACTAAAGACTGCTCTGCTACTGGAGATGGAGAATATGGGACAATCTGCCCCTGAGGAACCTACTGAACTGCTCGAACCTGTCCCTCAGTCCTCTGAGCTGCTGGCGATGCCTCGAGTCTGTTCTGCTAGCCCTGGCCTCTACCCTGCTGGCGCTGCTGCTGCTGCTGGTTCGGACCATTGCCCTGCTGGGCTCCTGCTGATGCACTACGACACTCCGATGCCTTGTGCCCGACTTTGTGATAATTAAAACAAGATCCCTGAAACTTGCACTGCTGATGCACTCTCTGATCCTGCTGGGGTCCCCTTTTATAAGGGCCCTGATGCTGCTGCTGCTGTCCTGAAAAAGGTCTCTTGTTCTTGCTCTTATCCCCACTCTGTCCTGTCTTGGCCTTCCCCTCCTTGTCCTTCTGGAACATAGTAGTCTCAACCTCCTGAGAGGTGGCAGCCTCAGCTACCTCCCTAACCGAATAAAACCTCCTGGACACGAGGTACCGGCGGATATTAGGGCGAAGCCCTGCCAAGAACATCTGAGCCTGACGCTCTCCTGTCTGCCACATTCTCGTGAAATGCAACAGCTCCATGAACCTACTCTCATTTGATAATATCTTGCAAAGTTACTTGCAGAATAGACTTCCTTCTTGCTATTGCAATAGAATGTCAATCTCATATTTGAAACTACTATATATGAACTAAATTAGAACTTTTCTATGGATGGTATTGAACATTTCCATCAAGGCAAAAAACAGGAAAAAAAATTGTCCAATGCAACTTCTGGCAGCATATTTTCTCACAATCAGCCAACTAAGATACCATTAAAAATTAAGAGAAAAAGCATCTTCATGAACTCAAAAATGGTGCAAGTTAGTTCTTGAAATTACATGAAGTTGCACAGCAGGAACATGTAAAATATTGTGAGGCGAATGTACATACCTCTGATAAGCAATAGTGTGAAGTAAGTTAAGCAACTATTTCCATCTACACGAGTCCAACGTTGCAAATACACAAAAGAATAGGTATTGAGCTCTAATAAAAGTTCACAAGGAAGAGAAAATATACCATTGTTTCGGCAAGATATTTACCTCTAACTTATTCAGGTTAAAGTTGGGCTCTGAGCAACTTATTCAGGTATTGAGCTAGGCTGTATATTTGTCATGAATGAAGTACCTTAGATTTAGAAGCTTCTATGCTTAACCCATGGATGAAAATAATACACTATTTCCCCATCTTACGAATAAGTGAAGATGCAGCACCTCCAATGGCACCTGTTTGTTTGGGCGTTGCATTCGAGGTCGACGAGGGTGAGTCCTGGCGGAGACTCTCACGCAAGCGAGCTAGAGGATTTCCAGGCGAGCTTGAGCGCTCGTTTGAGTGTGGGACAGGCTGTCGATAGCCCACCTAGGGTTTCCCTATAAAAGGGAAACGTAGAGCTCGAGCCTCGGTGCGCGTGGCTTCTTCTCTCTCTCTCATGATTTTCCCTTGGTGGCGGCG